CGTTACTATGATGATACATCCTCTGGCTTTCATTAGCAACATACTTACCAACTATTGTTTCTAATGTTTTGAAACGGCCTAGATTGATGTTTATTATTAAGGCCTGCAAATATTTTTCAACTCAGTGCTATTCTTTATTGCGAAAGAAAAGCAAGCAGTTCCATTTGCAAGTTCAGATTTCATGCACGTTCATAAAGCCTGGTTTTTAAGGTTTGTGTTCGAAGAATTTTTTTGTCTTTCATGCCATGTTTCCTCCCCCCTTTTTCCGGCCTTCTTTTCCCTTTCTGCTCCCCCCCCCCCCCCCCCCCCCCTTTTCCCTTTTATGTAGAATATTAACTTTACTGGAAGGTTAAAGTTTTTAAAGTGTCTTTTTGAACTGTCTGGGATCCAGTCATCAGCAAACAGTTAAGGTTCTGTTTTAAAATGTCTTTTTGCTTCTGGGCTGAGGGAATAAAAGGAAAATTAGTGGTATCCTCAGAATTCATAGTGCCAAAGGCAGCTGCCAGTGAAGTTTTAACATTCCTTGTTTGGTTCTGAAATGTATATTCATCCAGTGTCTAAGATTCTTCTACCTTTTAGTTCATCAAGTAGCATTTTGAAAAGGCTTAGATCAAAAAGAAACTATTGTGTAAGTAGAAAAAAATTTGCCGTCTGCTTGTAGGAACATTTTAGGAACAGCCACCTAGCATTTCTTCTGTGTTATTGCTTTTCAGTGTTTGTTGTGTGTGAGTCTTTCACATAGCAACAGAGTGATAAAAACATTTTTAAAAGGCAAATGTAAAATAATAAATTCCAGTTTCATCACCAGGTGCCAAATTAGAATATTTATTTCATTCAAATTTGGATACTGACAAAATGTCAAATCAATATTGGCCATCTTAATTTTGAAAATATTTATTTGATATTATGTTTGACTTTTGCACATATGGAAGTCATGTGACCCTAGAAGCTAAAAATTGGTATTTGGGGGGAGCGTATAGTCCTGTGTTTTCAGCATAAGACAAAACCAAGAAATACAGAAAATAACACTGAGGAAGACGGACATTTAGGAAAATGAGAGGAACATCAAGATCTCAGGATTTTCACTGTTGATTAAGCCTATAAGGCTTTTAAAGTTCATATAGCTGTAATTATAACTGCATACTTACAGAAACAGTTTCTGCCACTAACAAATGTTTTTTCACCAAGTATTTGATCCATGAGATGTGTCCATTTTACCATCTAACAAGAAATAAGTGCTTATTAAGGGAATCTTTGCAGATTCACCAAAGTACAGAAAAGTTTTAACTGATGCATTGGGTGTTGTGTTGGTTCTTTTACATAAATGTCAAATTCAATCCATGGCCTTTTTTATTGCCAATAATCTAAATTGCTAATGGGAAAATAGAACCCATGCAACAGTTTCCTCCTTTATTTATGATTTAAGAACAGTTTTATCAAATAGCCATGCCTCAAAATAAAAAACATCTGGTTGGCAGAAGTGCCCTGTCAGCAGACAGCAGCAATTACACTGAGGCCAAACAACATCTTAATTAGTTACAAGGCAGGCCAGCAGACAAAGAGGGGAGCTGTTTAAAGCTAAAAAAATCTGTGGCTAAATTAAGCCTTTTATTTAATGCATTTCCCCCTCCTTTTTTTTCTTTTTTTTTTTTTTTTTATTTAAAACTCAGACCAAAAGAGGCTTCACCAGAAGTGAAATCAAGGCTAAACTTTATTAACAGAGTGGACTTCAACAGGAAACATTGATCTATATTAACATTTTTGCTTTTAATTTATCTTACCATAACATATGCAGCAAGCCCCAGCTATTTGTATTCATTTTGGTGAGGGGCCCTGGTGGGGTGACAAACAAGAGAGTATTTCAGCAAAAGGCTACTTACTTAGCGTGGCAATCTTTCCATTTTCCTTTTCCTTTACTGTCAATACCTAATATTTGTGGAAGAACTTTCAAGTTTGTTCTGCTCTTTCTCCAACTTACTACTATCTACCATGGCTATCTACACATATAGTCTAACTGCTGTTGTGTCAGAATACTACTATGTCGGAGGTGGCTTTTTTCTTTTTATGTCCCTGTCAGAATTCACCAAATGGCTTCCACAGAGTCACTCAGGATCTCTGTGACAGAAGCATGTTTTCTGAACCACAAGCTAGCATGCAAACCAATGGACACTCCCTTCTCATCATGGGGTGGAATCATCTTCTTCTGTTATGATATATTTAATAACATATACGTGTCAAAGATGAAAAGACCCAGAGGGGCTTGACACATTCACACCCATTGCCAAATTTAATTTTCAACAAAACCGAGGGGATTATTATAATAAATTGCACACGCAGCAAGTAGTGGTTTGCCAGGCACAGTGTCCATCAAGTTGCTGGTGCAGAATCACAGATTTTATAGTTAGTATTGACTCCCCCTTTGGTTCTGCTTCATCCAGCAAGGGAGGCTTGAAAGCTGTGGGAGTTTCTCCTCCTCTGGGACTTGTAACACTTTCTGTATTTTCTGTTAGTAATCAAGACCTATGTTGGCCAGCTGGTGAGTATAGTATTTTGTTCATGTTGCTGAGGCCCATATTCTTATAATAATTCAGTTATCTAATTCATGGATGTTTCAATTTATATTAAGATATAAAAAGCATTAAAATTTTGGGTCTGCATTCTCTTTATAACAAATACAGATGAAAACAACCTGCTGTTAAGTGGCTGTTATGAAGATGAAAAAAGGAATCATTTCATGATTGAGAAGATCAAATTAGCATCTAATTTTTAGAATAAAAATCAACATTTTATTGTGTGTCTTGTGTCAACTTACATATTTGTATAGCACCAAATAATATCGGCTTTGATTTTTTTGTTTCGGCAGCGTTGCAACTGTAGAGCCACCAGAAGTAGTTCTGTTTTCTCTTAGTTCCGACGAAAATTAGAAGTGACCCTGAAAAAATTAAACCTGATTTGCTCAGATCTGTAGGGAGAATATGGGGTCTTGCCAGACTTTCCCAACAAAAACTCAAAGCCAAGAAGCTAGGCATCTTATATTGGTGTGCTGATCCTGTTTTGGCGCATGGACAGTGAGGGCAAGAAGCAAAGCCAAAATGTGGAGTGAATTCAGAAGTACTGAAGCACTCTGAATCTCTTTTCTGTACATATTCTGTTCTTTTTCATTCAATGCTTTTGTAAGACAGTGGGCACGTGGTCATGGGGAGAAAAGAGAAGCTGAGATTTAATGCAGAGGACTTCTAGCACAGCTTCCATTCAGCTGTGTTCTTTCTTCTGTGCATTGCTTGAGCTTTTTTAGAATTAAGACTTGAGTAAAACATGCCCTCCTTGACATGCATATTGTAGTTAATTCTCTATTAATGCACCCACCATCCTGCAATACAGTGCCGCCCAATTATCTCGTGAAGAACAGTGAAGATGACTCAGCCATTGGCATGCTGCCTAGTTTCTGGGTTCCATTTCTGAGCCATTAACGTTATGGATGGGGCAATGTTACATGAATGCAAAGCAAGTGCGTTTCACTTGTTTGACCATGTGTACCCAATGCAGAAGGAGCAGGGAGAAAGATCAGAAGTTTGGTGATGAGACTATGGAAAGCTTGGGAGCCATCAGGAGATATTTGGCCATGTAATGAGTTTCAGTTTTTTACTTTTCCAAGCAGTAAACAAGTGCCATTGGAGGCTTTCTCTTTCTGAATGACTAAAAAATATTTCCCTCCTTTGATGTTTCTTTGGGGATTTCAGATGAGGAAATGGTAGTGGGAGGAAGTTTGAATGTAAGCCTGGATACACAAGCAAGTGTGAGCCATCAGCCAAGTGGTGAATCCTAAAGTATTTGCTATAAATGAAGGTCCTACCCTATAGGAAAGTCTGTCAGGCTCCAAGAGGTGGTAAAAGGCTAGAGAAAATAACAACCTCTATTTCAGCATCCAGCTTGGGAGAAATGTGTATCTCTATGGGTAAGAGGTAAACTCCTGTGGGCTTAATCCAAACACTGCATTTCAAGTTTTTAATTTTTCTGGCTTCAGCTTAAAGCCGTTGCTTCTTCGTAGGCTTAAGAGTCATCTGATGCCTGATCTTTTCATCTTGCATGCTGTATTTAAGCCACCTGTCGACTGTCTTTTTGATATAAGTAACTTTCTTGGTCTAGTAATTATCTTAGAACAATCTATTTTCTCCAGACCTCAAATACTTTCATCCTGTGTTAGTTCTTTGTGTTGTATCTGATTTTTCAAATATGGTTACTGGAAAGTTTTATAAGATATGCTAGCATTACCAGTGCTCCATGTCAAGATAAAATCATCCTTCTACTGCCTATTGCCATATTTATCCGTTCAATGATCCTATTAGCTGTGTTTGCTAATGTTTTGTTAGAGTGAAAAAAGACAGACATGAGAAAGGACTGAAAAGGGAAGTGCAACAACTATTTTCCATTTAATCTTTATCAGTGTGTGGACAGGCTGGAAAGGGTCCGGAGAAGGGCCACAAAGATGGTCAAGGGACTGGGCAGCCTGCCATGTGAGGAAAGGCTGAGAGAATTGGGTTTGTTCAGCCTGGAGAAGAAAAGGCTTGGGGGAGACCTTGTCACCACGTTCCAGTATTTAAAGGGTGGCTACAAAGCAGATGGAGACTCCCTTTTTGCAAGGAGTCCCATGGAAAAGGTGAGGGGTAACGGGCACAAGTTACTCCTGGGGAGATTCCAGTTGGACACAAGAGGAAAATTTTCACAATGAGAACAATCAGCCACTGGAATAATCTCCGTGGGGAAGTGGTAGATTCCCCAACATTGAACACTTTTAGGATTCAGCTGGACAGGGTGCTGGGCCAGCTTGCCTATACCAGGCTTTTGCGAAGAAATGTTGGACCAGATGATCCTTGAGGTCCTTTCCAACCTGGTATTCTACGATTCCATGAATGTGTCTTGAGAAATGAGATTTTAAATTTTATTTAGGACTTTTGCAGAAAATATTAATCCCTCATTAGCCACTTTAATATTAAAGCTTACTACGTCCCTGTTCTTCACTTATCTATGCATTCAATTATATAGAACCCATAAATGGCTTCACTGGACATACTAGTGGGACAGACCTACAAATGGCTGGAATCTGGATCATCCAGAGGCTCTATAATTGTCTTCAGTCTCTGTAATGCAAAAATTAATCAGAAGTGATATGTAGAAACCAGATCTGTGTTCTAATTCTGCCGATTCCAGCATATATGGAATGTCATATAGTGACAGAAAGCGGGTAGTCCTGAGTTTGTTATGATAATATTGCATGCTGAAGGAAGCCTAGTTCTCTAATAACAATGCAAAGCATCGCTCCCTGTAATACATACGTGTATCTGCTTGTGTTCCAAGTGTCACTGGGTGGGGCCTTAAGGAAAACCACGAGCAGCTGTGGTGGTGAAACAGGGTGAATAAAAGTTTGAATTATTGTTAACATATGTACCACTGTAATAAACCCCGATTTTGATTACTTACATGAACACAGCATATTGCTGAATAAACCCCCTCTGGATACGTTTGTATTCCAAAACATGTCATAAGGAAAGATTAACAGTTTTGGAAAGGGATCTTTTCCTTGGGATGAAGATTTCATTTCCTTGCCTGGTATTCTTGGAAACCTTTCAAAAATCTGAAAGCAAAATAAAAAAATCATAAGATGGTGTGTTAAAACCTGACCAATGTCTTGTTTAACTGGCTTAGCAATCCAAGCCCAAAGGAGCAAACTGCAAGCAAGACATGGGGTTGTAGTCTTGGGAAGGCCACTTTTTCTCTGTGAATTAAGGTAAAAAAATTTAGGAGTTACTGCATTTGGGAAGTTTGCAGTTTTCAAGAAAATAAAAAAGCTTAGTTTTTCAAATAAAATTTTTTTTGTCTGCTAGAAGGAAAGGGTATAAAACAGTTTTCTTGAAATGAAGATATTTGTTTCTGTTACACAGGATTGGAAGAATTCACTTTCGCATCTGCCTTCTGCCCTTTTATTGCAGTCCCTAGAGAAATGTTTAGGTCATTCTGGTTTCGCCTCTCAATAACATCCCACTGCCCAAGTCCTACCCCAGCATTCATAACTTGCAAGTCATGAAGACAAATCTGCATCTATTGCAGCCTGAATAATTTAAGAAGATGAATAAATGAGAACAACTTGCATCAGTGGGACTGCAGGTTTTTTTACACCAACTGAAACCCATGTTTAACCGGTGTGTCAGAAAGGATATTTGAGTATCCAGTATGGCCTCTTTATTGAACCATATTGCTCTCCAATTCTTCCTTGCTTGCAGATCAAGTAACCACCTTCTCATCTACCTCATTCCCACTAATGCTTAAGAAGAGCAAAGATAAATTACTGTTGTGGACTAGTTCTATAGAATGAACTGTAGCCAAAGGAATAAAATGCAGAGTTAATTACTGCCTTGCAGTCAAGCCAGTTTTCAAGGGCTCTTATAATGCTCACATCAACCATAGTATAACTGTGAACAATGCAGGAGGGATGTTTTCTTGGGGGTGGGCTTACTCCAGCGTGCTGCATTTCAGATGTGTGACGTGGTGTTAAAAACGAAGAGTGCTATGCTTAATTGCCATTAGAACTGAGGTACTGCATTAACCCTGATCCAGAACACAGCGAAGCTCAGCAGTGCAGCCTTTTGAATGAGAAAGGCTGAAGAAAGCACTAAATGGACTAGCAGGGAGGATTTGGGCAGGCATGTTTGAACGATAGCACTATTTGTGTACACAGCTCGTCCCATTTTCCAGTAATGATGCAGCTGCACTTTTGCTAGCAGCAGCATAGTTGGGCTAGCTACCTAGTAATTCATAGATATATGAATTTTAAGACCAGGAAAGACTGTTGTCATCGTCTAATGTGATGTGTAATTTCTCTCTATTCATTCCTGCCTCAGATTCAGTAGTGGTGCTGGAAGTGGAATGTGGTATTGCATTAAGAGCTTATCTTTTGCTGTTTCTCATTGTTTTCAAATATATAAGCCTATACTTGAACACAATGAAAAATATTTTTTTCTGTATAAACCTTATAGAGCAACTAATTTCTTTTTGTTATAGGTGATAAGTACTGTTCATTATTTTCCTTGCTTCATTGTTTCTGTTCTAAATTGTTTACGCTTTCTAACTTTAATTTATAGCTGTTGCTATCATTTTCTCTTATTTCATTTATGGTTTTTGTAGAATTAGCTGTATGATTACTTTTGCATCCCTGTTGTTTTATAAATGGTTTTATCCATTTTTAACTAACTTAGCATTCTTTACTGTTAGTGAGATTGCATTTTTTTTTCCAATAAGTAAATGCTTTTATATAGTTTGCATATATTATCCATATTTTTCTTTAAGGTTATTTCCTCTAAGCTTTTTTGTCTTATAATTGTTTTTGTCATAGTGAAATTGTCCACTTTAAAGCAGCAAGTATGTGTATTACTGATTCAGCCTTTTTTCTCAAAAAAAATGACAATCAAATAATATTCTGACACCAGTAATTTTTTATTACTAAATAATTTTTTTTTCACTTCTAAAAATTTCTACTATGCCAGATACAATAGTTTTTGAAGGAGAAAATTATTTGTATCACTTGTAAACAAGAATAATTTTTTGTCTGTGTGTTTCTGGCAGCATAAAACCTTCAGCAGACAGTACAAAAATTGAAATCACTCACTGTAATACATTTTTCCTCCCATTTCAAACAAATGTTTAAGAAGTTGACATTTATTTCTCTGGTGTGAGGAACTGTGAGTTTTCTAGTATGGGGAAATACGATATATGGGGTAACAATTCAACTACATGATGATGAGAAGGCAATGCTAACATGATGGCAATCGGTGATGGGATCCTGTGTAACAGCTCCTCCCTTGGGTTATAAATGGGATTGAGTTCATGAGCTACAGAGCTGAAAACCTACATCCTCACCTCATGAACTAAAAGCTAACTCTTGCCTCCATTATCAGTAGCAAAATCTTACACCTCATCGGCAAAGTTACAGTAAGGTAACTAGAGGATGCATGTTGTACTAGAGCAGGCAGCATTTATACAGACAAGAGGCTTTTTCGGGAGTGTTGTTCAAGAGTAGAAAATAGGAATCTGTTCAAAACATACGAGCAAATCAAAACTGAAATACGAAACTGAGGAATGAAAGAGGGGAAAGACAAAGGAACACACAATATAACACACACGACATATAAGTAGCTGCCTAGAGCAGGCACGTTCACGTAAGCAGACTTACTCTTAGTTAAGTCCGAAGTTGACGACAGAGGAAGTGGGGAAAAAAGTAGAGGAGCACTTCAGGCTGAGTGTAAGAGCTGGAAATTGCTGTGGTAAAAGACAGGAAGACAGCATGAAACTGTGAGTTCGGAATTGGCATCACACTGGATAAGCCTTGAAATGTGACCTGCTAACTATGGGCAGGATAATATTCTCAACAGAGAACGCGTATCAGTGGCTTCTGAATTTTGACCAATATCCTTGAAAATTCCATACAAGGAAAGAGTCAGGCCATATCACATGTTTGAAATGTGTATTATTTATTCATCACCTCACTGTCAAACCCAGGCTACTTGTAAAGGTTCCATCCGCACTCAACTGGATAATTTCTGTTCTTTTCATTTATCACTGCTCAGAATGACCTCAGTCAAGAACTGTTTCTATATGGCTGTAGACACAATATATCTTTTGTTTTCTGTACACCACAGATGAATGCTGTACTTGTGGATAATTGGCTCATTTCTATAACTTACTGTATGTTCTTATAAAAGAGAAACATAAATGGTCACTCTCCTATAAAGTGCTACTGAGATCTCTCTGGATACTTTATGTCTACTTTATTGTCATTATTTTTCTTAGTCTAAAATAAGATACTTTGAATTGAAAAATGTGTATTTTGTTTTTTGCTATGAAGTGAAGCAAGTGGTCCAGTTATAAGGGAGGAAGTGGTCTCATGGTTTCTTCGGATGGCTGTGGTACTTGCATGTGATACAGCAGAAATCCTCCTGTTTGAGGCCTTAAATCTCCTTCCCCGTGTGTACACACTTAAATTGCACCTGCAGTCTGCAGGGACCTTCCTGCAAGCGCTGGGGACGGACCTCAGCGTTACTGCAGTCTGGCAGGTCCTCCAGGGCCTCGGTAAAATCCCAGCTCTATTCTGCTTTACAGCCTGCCCTGCCAGGAAGGCGTTCCTTCTGTAGGCATGGTAGGCAAACAGTCACCCTAAAGAAGGGGGCTGAGGCATTTTGTGCTCAAGAGACAGCTACTGGCTAAAGTCATGTTGTTGCCTGGAATGGAAGACTTCCATTCAGTTTTCTCTTTGTTCCTTTGCTTGAAATGGGGATTAGCTAGTGGAGACAGGTGAATGTAATGAATGAAGGAAGGAGCACACTGAAAACAGAATGTAAGCAGGAAATAGGAGAAAAAGACTAGCAAGAGAGACTGCAAGAATAAGGATGAGGTGAAGAAACAGCAGCAGGGGAGGGTAACACGTGGCTAATCTATAGGCTAGTCAAGCATGTGTTGTGTGCTGCTATATGAGCACTGAACTGTCTCTGTGCTTGGACACAGCTCAGTGTATTTAAAATAGAAAAAGAAAAAGAGATCATAGGCTGGCCAATCCCTGATAAAACAGTGCATGTATTGTTTTCATACCGTTCTGAAGAGCAGTCTAGATACTCTCGTGAAATAAAAAAGAATCGGCCTTTTTATTGACCGTAGTTCTGTGTGAACAGCAGCTCCTCCTCTACACTTGGTTTTCTCAGACTAATTTATGCTACAGGCTGCAGTGAAGTGTAAACACTCAATGTGCTTGTAAATAAGTGAGTTTAGGTATTGGAAGGCATCTAGCCATGTTACCATGAAGCTCCACATGGGTTAATTTTCCTGGATTCTTGAGGCGGTGCTTGTACACTGAGCTCCAAGTGTGTTGTTTTGAAGCATGGCCACACCCTTAGGAATGAAATTCATCCATTTTCTGGGTGCAGTGTGTTTCCTAATCAGCAGCAGTAATGTCCTGAAATGAAAATAATTAGTAAGTTAAAACAGTGTTGGACCTCATCAGTTCTTAGATGAGAAATCAGGCTAGGAGGGAAACCGCAGAGGTGATTGTAACAGTGCTGTTTTAGCAGGTAATACTCCTCCATCCAAGGTTATAAAGCAGACAATGCCCTAACAAACTGGGGGGATTGTGGCAGGCTGGTGTATGGTATAACTCAGTGCTGGTAAAAGCGTCTGCCTTCTGCCACGGAGGCAACTTAATATCAGTAATGGGAGAAATGATACCTCGAGTGTATAAAGCATGGGGTCTCCTCTTGGGATCAAAAAAGCAGTGAAATTCAACACTCTTTCTTGGTCTATTTTTTTCTGTTTTCATTCTATTTTGGTGTATACTCCTTCCCCTCCTCTATCCATCTAAATGGTTAGTGAACTCTTCATCAGTCTATGTATCTTTCTGCAGGGTACTGAGAGTTTAGAATCTCCTTTGCAACACTGGCTGCTCTGAAGGGGCTCTGGATGTTTTATGAGGAGTCTTTGAATCTGAACCTTGTGAGACAAGGAAGAGACAGCAAGCAGAAGCTTTCATGTGTCTCACAGCTGCCTTCCTATCAGAGTCAAGATCTGATTTCCTTCCTGAAAGGTCCTATTGTTTTCGGTAAGGACTGTGAAATAGTTACTTGTTGAGTGACAGTGAATGGGAGGGCAGCTGGGCAAGCAGGGGTGGTTCCCCCTGAACAACTCACAGCTGTGCGCTGGGATGGCAGATGTGAGGATCTGACACCTCCTTTCCCCCCCAGGACAGAGTATGGGAAGCTGCTGTTGTCAGCCTAGATGAGACTTTGCATGGCAAATACCTTTCCAGATCTGAATAACCTTCACTTTCTCAACAAGATAGTCAGGTGCTGTTTTATACAAGTTATTCCCAAAAGAAATGTATGTCAGATTTTTGATCCAGGTTATTGACTAAAAAGAAAAATACCATGTAACATGGACAGAATAATGCAAACAGTTGTGGCTGAGAATGTATGCACAAATCAGAGAGTTTTGATAAGCAAATGGCTGGTAGCTCACGTAACTTCTACTTGCTTTTCCTGACTCTAGGAACTACAATTAGCATCTTCGGCCTGTTTTTATCAACGTAACTTCTGCATACAACTGTAAGATGTCTAGCATTTATTAGTTGGTCTGTAATTGTTCAAGTGACTAGTTCTTTGTCCTTTCCAGTGGGAGACTATTCTGCTAGCTTTGAATACATTATTCCCAGTAGTCATACTGATATTTTATATTGCTTTGCTTCACTTAATTGCTTCTGAATTTATCCTGTTACACTTTCACTAAGCAGTACCACTCCCTTTTTTTTTTTTTTTTTAAGACATTACACAATTACTAAGTTTATACTTTACTGTTTGTTTTCATGTCTCTGATGTTATTTATTGGCTGGCCGAATAGTGAGCCAAAAGTTAAGGTTTGGGGCTTTCTGAGATCTAGACTAATTAGTGGCAGGGTGAATATGTTAATCCCACAAAGTAAAAGAGCTTCAAATATCTCTCAAAACTCCTGCAACAAATAAGGAATAAATTTTAAGGGAACAGTTCAAAGTTCCAAGGTCTCAGAATCCAAATTTAGAGACAGATCAGAGAGGAATAGAAGAGACACCAAAACCCATTTCACATCTGGTTTGGAAGTGAACAAAGTGGTATGCAGCTGAGAGCTTCCTTAAGTTGCACTTCATATTTTTGTGGATTTGGAGTTTGTGGGAAAACAAGACTTAGAAATTGAGCAGCTGCCAATGTTGACAAAGGGCCTTTTGTCGTGATCATCATGTTATACACTATTGAGAGCTCTTCTGTTAGAAAAAGTGAGTGAAAATTGCGTTGCACGCTATAGAGCAATCTTTCTGTTGTTCCCAGGCAAGCGGACGTATCTCATGCAATGTGTGGCTTGAGAATGTAATACCTCCCGCCGCAGGAGCTTCACAATTGAGTGACCACATAGTTTATTCTAGCTGTCAATAGGGATATAGTTCCAGACGATGACTAACCACAAGCTCCATACTTGGAAGAATCTTAATGGTTCTAACTGAAGTCTGGAGACCAACCGTTGTGGAGTCAAAGGGGGAGGCAGATCCTGGAACTTACGTGACACTGCTGTGGTGCAGACGGAGCTTTCTTTCTCTGCCATTTATAAATCAGGTGTGCATACATGCACTGTAGTCAATACAGTATGTAATAGCAATAGTGTTCTTTTGTAGCTTTTTTGAGTTCAAGTATCTCAACGTAGTAAACATTATGTTGCACAAGTCTGTCTCTCACCACAGTAAATCCTTTCCCCATTTGACAGATGGGGAAATTTTGTTGAACAAAGATAAAATGGTTTTCATGTTCTACAGCACCTGGGTAGCAGACGTGACAGAAGAATACTGATTCTCTGTGCTTTACTACTACACTCTATGTGCTATACTCTGTCCTCCACGAAGCAACACAATCTCCTATGATTTGTGAGGCAAAGCTGTTTACTAGAAAACTTTCTCAGCTTAAATTGGTAAAAAGAAAAATAAGGCCGGTGCAAAAGAATAGGTGACTATAACAGTAAGTTAAGTTGTGGGGCTCACCAAATCTTTCTTTCCTATAATGGCATGTTGTTATACTTGAGCAATAGGATATCTGAAAAATGGTCTAAAGCAAAAAACTCCAGCTGCTCTCTCCTAGACAGAGAAATGCTCCAGAAATATAGCCAGTGGGTGGCCCAGATTCCGTCACTTGTGATACTGATGTTTTCAAGCAAGCAGGCTATGGCTAGCACCTACTGTGGTGGCTCATATATTGCTAGGTATATAGACACCACAAATGGTAAGCAGCAGTCTCTAGACCTTGGGGGTTCAGGGAGAACTGGTAGGAGCAGCACAAGCTGTCATTTAGCTAGGAGTGGGAACAATTGCATTTTCTGAAAGCTGGTCTTAGTTTTACAGGGAGGGAGTTCCTGTTGGGAATGAATTCCATTTGCATGCTACCTTACCCTGGCTACGAACAGCCCATGGTTATTTGAAGTCTATAAATAAAATAGGACAAAAGCAGCTACCTGCATGGAGTCTGTAAGTGCTTTTAGGAAGGAGAATAATTTGTCCTCTAGGCAGACAGACCTAACTTTAGTATTCCTCACCCTTCCCTTTTCCCAAAGTCCTTGAGTCAAATCATCCTCAGATTCCCTGACATAGTCCCAAGACAGTTCTTGAAATCAGAGGTTTTAGAGACTGAGATTACAACAGGGCCAGACCTACCTGTTCTTTTGGAACCAATTCTGAACTGCTTCCAGTAGTTTATCTCCCTTCCTGGGCCTAGATTAAGGGATATCAGCTCTTATGTTCCAAGTAGCTGATCAGTTCAGTGGCAGAATTTAAAGATCAGGTGTGGCATAGGTGTCCATAAAAAGCACAAACCCTTTAACAGATACAGTTCTACATGTATACACACATTCACACACTTGAAAATACTTGTCTCTGCATAAAACTACATGCAGCCATAATGCTAATTTTGCCCAAATAAAAGCAAGAAAAACATCTGTAAATGAACGTGCACCAAGAGCACTGCATAAACACATACCTGATTCCAGGCTTACAGTCCACATCCTCAGCTGCTTTCTGCAAAGCCACCTCCAGCACACAGATAACCAGATCTCAAACTGACACTCAAACATGTGTGTTCATGTCAACAAAAACACTTCCACAAATAAACTAGATGGGCACATTCATATATGGCAATAAAAATGCTCTTCAGCACATTTACATGTACAAAATCTTACTGCTTGCAGGAACAAAAGAACACACAAGCAGCGCGCACATACACACACACAAGACAGGAATCACTCAGCAGCTATAGTGTTTATGCTGGCAGGAGAATGCCAGTCACTGAGCAGCCTGCCTCCAAACAGATGTTTGATTGTTTTGGGGTTGCGGTTTAATTGTTGGATAGTGTTCCAGCACTCAGAGGGGATCGAAAATACTCCAGGTCTGCAGCTGCAGCAAATGCCAGCCTTAAAACAAGGCAGATTCTGAAATCATTGCTCGAGGGGAAACTGCTTGCACAGGAAACCTTAGCCAAGCTCTGCATTAATACTACTTTGAAGTCAGAAAATTAATCTCTGCCATTTAAAAAAGTTCTGTTTTTTCAGGGCGTTTTGTAAGTTTATCTAAGACAAGCCAATTCCTTCTGGGCAACTGTGACAGTTTATTGACTTGCCCAGGCTTAGAGACTTTATTGGGTCTCTCTTTGTTTTCCAGAAAATCTTTCCTGGATTCTGTCCTGCACTTCAAGGCTCCTGGTAGAAGCGAGAAGCAACTTATTAGTCAGTCTCCTAGTCGCTAGTCAGTGTTTATTTCATTAAAGACTTACTCAAAATAATTGATCTTTGTCAAGAAGAATGAGTATTGCAAAACTGCATCTTTGCTTCTCTAGCCACATAAAGTAGCAGGTTGCATTGTCTGGATGTGCCACTGGGACTTCACGATTGGTGGTAGAAGGAGTGTATGGGACATGCTCCACATTTAGCTTAGGTTTGTGGGAAGAAATAAACAGAAGGGAGCGTGTAGCTGTTCTCTTGAGGACTAGAAATGAGAGACATTGAGAGACCCGATGAAAGGCAAGGAGATATTCAGAGGATACTGCAAAGAAAACTTTACTAAGCGTAATCAAAATGAAAATCCAAAGTGCGCATTTGACCAACCATTTTGGATTCATTTAAAAGGCTAGTTGCATCACTGACTCTCTTGATTCATAATATTCCTTGGGAACAGTTTATTTGAAGTAGACAGGACAATTTTGGACCTGTCGTTGTGAGGATTCTGGCATCCTTAAGAAGATCCTACGATTGCCTGCTGTAAGAAAAGCAGATGGGACTTGTATCCAGTAAGTGCTATGTCTTGCAAGTAGCTTGGGATTTGAAATGTTGTATAAGATCTCTGTTATCTACAGTGCAAATATAGAGAAGGTAACTGCACATTCCTTTGGGATGAGAGACACTAAATACTTGCAAGTTCTTGTGACTATTGTAAATATGAATGAATCCTCTGTGTGGCCTTTTAATAATACAAACATTGTAGAATTCAATATTTTTTCTCTATTCTTTTGAAATTGAGGGATATTTCCTGCAAGACTGCAGAGGATAAGTGTAGGCCCAAGCCCAAAAACTAGCTTTCTTAAATTCATCCAGCATTAAACAGTACATATGGAGGATAGATAGTACATTATTCTTTTGGTTCTCTAAAATCAATCCTAGAATATGCATAGAAAAAAATATCCTGAAAAGGCAGCCAAGAAAAGAGCAAAGAGCTTCTGTGCAGGGTCTGTCTCATTCCCCAAAATCCACATGGATTCTGTTAGTGTCCAATGCAGTGCTACCTTGACAACTCCAAACCCAAAAGCTGTAGATTTAATAGGTGTCAGGAGCAAGGACCAGAGCAACAAACTAATTTAATGGCCCATCAGAGCAAAATATGACATCATGGAAGTAGCTTGGTCAGCCCTAGGTTAGGTAAGCCCCAGCACAGCTGTCTCAACTACATTCTCCATTGCAGACTTCCTCAGCTCTGAATTCTGGGCCCTATATGGTTTTTTTCACTGACATTTTTCCATTTCCATTCCCCTCCTCTTGGAAAAAAAAGAATGACTATAATTCCGATATTTGTTCCAGTTTCTGTAAACTATCACTCCTGCTGAACTGACCTGTCCAGATGGTCTTCCTTTCGGCTCACACATACTAGTCAGGAAAGTAGAGAATCTGAAGTTCAAGCCCCTTAAAAATCTGTGTTGTCCAACTTGGGGGACAGATGAAAGCAGTGGCGGGCCTGCCTCCAAGCCATGTTATTTTCCTGCTGGATTTCTACTACAGCTTGTTTTATCTTCCTGTAGTCTGATATTAGATGATAGTTTTTTAATCCTTTCTGAAGCAAAACCAATTTTCTTGTCAAACGTATGCACACTATCAAACACAGTGACATATTCACTTCCAGACTCCATTAGAATAGAAAATTAATATTTTTTAATCTCTTTCCACTTCATCCAACATTCTTTCCAGGCCTTGTGACTCTCCCACATCTTATTCTTGACCTCTGTGTTAAATCCTTGTTCTCTTTCTTTTCCTGTAGCTTTTCAAGTAGGTTACTAAGTGTGTTCTTATTAGCATCCATTTGCTACCTAACATCAGTTTCAAGATTTTCAGCAGAATGATAAATGCTCTTGGCTTATTTCTTCCTTCTCAAACTGTTTTCCATGTTGTGTTAATTCTTCTCCGCCATTCTGAAACCCTTCCAGAAGGACTCTACCCTACTATTTAAAACAGTCTCCTAAACCTTACTCCTCTCACAGTCACAATCCATGTAAATCTTCTAGTTTTGCAAAACCAACTGTATTAATCCATAAAAAATATTTCACTGATTTAGTCTGTATGCGATGAGCTACCCTCGAATCACTCCAGTTTAGACAGCAGGCTTCTTGGAGCAGTGACTACATTTTCTTCACTGCATTGTGTTGAACAGAACGCCTAATACACCATTAAGTTGAACAAAAATGCGGGTTTGATTCAGGTAATGTTGAATGGGTTTTGATCTAAGCCGAGTTCTACTCCTATTACTCAAATGCTGCCAACTTGATCAACGCTGGAGGTTGATCCAGTCTAAAACCAAGAGTCTTACAGTTTATACTAAATGAAAAGGCACTGAAGCAGAAAACTCATATACCACAATTTTCTGTGATAACATTCCAGTTACACATGTATGTACTGATAATGGTGGGTTACACTTACTTCAGACCATGACTAAGCTGCGTAGGTAGATGCAACTGCCAAAGAAAGATCTAAAGTAACAAAGGTGTAAAACCAAACACACTAGAGCAGTCCAGTTATCTTAGCAATCTTACTGGAAAACTTATGTAATGCAGGGATGGAAAGTCAGAGGAAAGATAATCAGTAAGTTATCTGCATGCGACAACAGATACTTGCGAGCTTCATCAAAAATCAAGGAGCTTTTCTGAATCAAAAAGCTTTCCTAAGCCACAAGAAAGCCCCAAACTACAATCCAGGAAGCCAGTTTCTCAATTATTTTTAAATTTACCCTTAACAGTTTAATGGTGCCAAAACCCAGCAACAGATAAAACTCAAAACGGAAAATTCCTGGCGTAAGAATAATAATTTATTATCTACTTTGTACATTTTCTGAGATGAGATTTCAAAATGAAAATGAGCAGTGGAGGAAATTCTAATCCTATTGCACTGTCCCTCCTTGTGGGAAGAACAGAATGATTCACTAATCTAGGACTCCAGCAGAACTGAAGTCAAGTGGGTCTCAGCCCTGTTACCAGTATATTTTGTAATCACCTGGAAAAATATTATTGCTTCCTCTATGGCTTTTCAGTCAGACAGTGTCCAAATACTGTATAATAAAAGCCGAATATCTGGGTAGATAGCTGGGTAGCTTAGGTTGAATGGTCCACTGAGGTTGAGCTGTCTCCCTTCTGCTTTTCCAGACAGAACTAGTTGGAAGGAACCTGCCAATGTTCAGCCCGATCTGTGTTCAGAAGCTTCCTAACATTTTCAGTCTGTCACCTGTAGCAAACTTCTAAATCCTGTCTAATTAGGAAAAAAGTTGAAAGAGTTAGTACAGTTTACCTAGTTTAGTTCTGTTCCACCTCTTGAACTGAGCTACAGTTGCTAAACCACAATCCTGACGTTGTTCAAATGTTGGCTTTTGTTTAGTTGAACAAGTTCAATTGAGCTATAATTCCTGAAAAAAAACACCTTGTTCCTAGTCTAGACAAAACCTAAGGACTTTAAAAACCAGGCAGAAAAGGACCAAGTTAAGACAGGACCAAGTTAAGGCAGGACAGCTATGATTCAGACATAAATACTCTGCTTCTGACTGCCTTCCTTAGAGCATGCCTTAAGAATAATAATGAAGTCAAACAACATATGTGAGAATTCTGCTCTTTGCCTCTTCACGTGGCTGATTGTTTTGTTAAACCAATCTTTGAAAGGGAAGGAACTGCATTCTTTCCTGCACAAACTCTCTATAGGTAGTTTTCCAGGAACGTATACATTTTTTAAACCATTACTTCTAATCCTAGACTTGCTTTATGCTCTGAGGAGCCATTTCAAACATGATTCCCCACATAACCAGGATGTTCCTCCGCCCTCCCACTTGCTCCCTCCCTCCCCTCCGCTACCTAGTCCAGCCGTGCAGCACTGTTCTTTCAAAGTTTTCTTGAGGGAGTATCCTGCATCATCTTGCCAAGCGATGCTCTGCTGTGGTAACATGATGGAGCAGTAATGGGATCCACCATTCATGCCAAAGTCTCATCCAGAAGGGAGGTGGTGTGCATGTTCTGGCTGCGAGAGTGTTCAGGGAGGGGAAGAGCTGAATAATTTATGCCTTTTGCTTGACAGCCCTATCCGAGGCCCTTTTAATTCTTTCCTGTTTGTTTTTCTCCCTCCTGTGGCAGCATTTAGTCATCTCCTCACAGTGTGTCTGTGGGAAGGGAAGGGGAATGGAGTATTTTCAGGAAGACGTATCATTCTTCCCAAAGTGGGTTATACAAATTACAGTTTAAGCAGATGAAACCCGTAGGTCTGGCCTACTAAGAACATTGTTACAACCAATGCTGCTATAAGGGAAGGGATAAAGTCAGAGCTAATCTCTCAGATGTTTTGCAGAGAATATAGTGTCAGCACATATAATTCTTTACTCATTTGAGACATGTTTCCTTCATTTTATTTGAAGTTGACTTGAGACAAGTAGTAACACACAGAAATTTGGAGAACTGGATGTAAACTGTAAAGAAAGGAGTAGGCATGAAGTAAATTTGGAACAGACTAGCAATTAATCCAAGCATACATTCCGTCTTTAAAAAAATCACAACCACCCAGGAACGGGTATTGTGTGCAGTTCTTACTGGTAGTGACTTCTGCCAATAATATTAGGTCATATTCCTACTGTAATGTGGGGTCTGATCCTGCTTCTACTGATGTAAAGATTCTCCTTGATATTTTAGTGTCCATGAGCTGAGGACTTTGTCCGAACCTAATTAAATAATAGGTACAGATTGTGCTGTGATTCAGTTTCCAGTCACTTTTCTCCAACTCTTCTTATGCCATCCATGCCAGAACACCCAGTGCACCTAGCACCCGTGATGTTTCAGAATTGCTTTAAAGCCACATAAGTAAAACATAGTCTTTGGGGGAGACCAGTAAAACTTTTTTTAAACATAAACAAGAAATGTTCTCACTGATCTAAGATATAATTAACTGTGTTTGCATTGATACAAACATTCTGTCAGATTTAAATGAATATAAATGGTTGTTCAAAAATAAAGGAAAGGATTCTTTTTTAAAAGAGCATAGTCTGCTCTAATGGGATCTAATAACTCTTAATAGTCCTCCATAAAAGTAATGGTGTACTTAAATCTCCACTTGGCAATAATCCGGGGCAGAAAAAAGTGCATTTTAAAAATGGGAACAGCTCAAGGCTGCATGTTCCCAGCCAGCAACGACAAGCTGAAACAATACAAGGAATCCAGATAATGAAGCACATATGTCTTTCCAGTACCATGCGAGTCAACAGCTTCCTCATTTACGCAATCAAAAGGGGAAAAAAGCTCCCCCATTAATCCCAGCACCTGAGGTGAAGGGGTGAGGACTGCAAAACTAAATAAGCCCTCATATCAGGGTTGACTAAGATTTACATAAGTGAACTCACTCTGTGCTTTGATTTCTTTTCTGTTTTCCTTCCCCTCTCTTTCTTCCTGATACATACATTTCCAAACCTAGGAACTCTGGGAAAGCAGATTAAAGCCAGCCCTAGAGGTTTATATAAACTAAATGAGGCACATGGCAAGATGCCTGGCATGAAACATAGGGCCCAATTCATAAAATAGTTCAAACGCATATATATAAAGTTTAAAATGGGGGGGTCTCTTGGCCATAGATTGTAGCAGAGTTTCCCAGTAGAGCACAGGCTGCTGTGCCACTGAAAGAAGCCCTTGAGGCTTCTATTTACAAGGCAAATGTCCCATTTTACACAGCTGGAAACTGAGGCCTAAGTGACATTGTACTATATTAAACCATCAGTGTAATGTGCTTGGAAAACAGAAGGAACCTGTATCTGTGGTTCTTTCAATACTCTGAGGTAACTCTGTCAAGGTCATTTGTATGGATAGTGCCAACTACGGGGCTCAGACCTCTTGGCTTATAGTGTCCAAACACAGCCGTTGGAGTGTAACATATTGCACCAGTATAAAGGTTTGGTCTTTGCCTGCTGTTATAAATGGCTGTAAGACTGCATTTTCATTTGCTACTTGTCTACCACACTACCCAGTACCTTTTTTAACACTGAATATAGAGGGGATGGGTAAAAGAAAAAAAAAAAAAAAAAAAAAAGAAAAAGTCTTTTCAGGATGTACTTGAATGAAAAAAAAAGCAAATTTTTTCATTTTGAGTTTTAAAGTCATCTTTCATTTGTAATCAACTCAAAACACTTCCAAATCTACTAGTCTAAAACAAAAGGGTGGCAACGTGTGGTCATATATTTAGGAAAATGAATTCCATTTGAATTCAGAGTGATTTTTTTTTCATAATGTGAGTAAGAAATCCCTCCAGACTGACTAATAGCAGATCCCATTAACTGCAAAGGCCAAAGGGGAGATTGACAAGTGAATGATTTGGCTATGAAATGAGGTGAACTAATTTGCAGAGGAATGAGTATTTCTGAGCATCTGGTGGCTGGCCTGCCTATGATAGCATGGATAAACTGCACGCAAAAATGAGTGTTTGGCTTGCTTGATAGTAGACGGCAATGGCCCCAGAACTCTCTAGTGATTTGGAGCTTACAGAAATTCTCTGCGTTACCAAAGATTTTCTTTTTTTTTTTTTTTTTGACTAAGCTCTTCTTTCCTACCCAAATGTGTTCACAGCTCTGTTCAAAGTAGCAGTGAACAAAGACTATTTAGGCACACAGTTACAGATGTTTCCCCCATTTGTGTGATCTACATGAAGCAGATATTATTCCATGCCATGTTATCTCAGAGATTAATGATGGACAAGTTTCAAAAGATTTGAAATTCACAAATAATTGATTTGGAGGAACTCCCACAACAGTGAAGCTTCTTTGGATCTTATCAAAACTCTCTGTACATAGTGGGTCTGTACTAACAGCCAAAGATGACTGAAACAGCACAGGGAGCCCTCAACCCCCTGCCAGAGCAGAAGGGATACAAGTTAGTCAAGCACAGAAAGAAAAGGAAATCATTTCCATGACTTCTATGGAGAGAAACTGTTTCAGATAATTATGTTCTCTAGCAACATGTGCTCATTTTCCAGAAGCAATTTGGTTCTGATTTAGTGAATAAAAAAAAATTGCAATTTAATTTTTTAAACATTGCTATTTTATTACCTGAAGTAGACTTGGATGACTGCTGGATTTTTCAGGTGAGTGACCTTACCAAGAAGTCAGGAAAAATCTCTCCTTTCTGTTAAGAAGATGCAAGGAAATTGGGTGGAAATTTTGATGCTTTTTTATTTAAAATCCTTCTTTGGAAAACTGACACTGTTTTTTAACCAGTCATTTTAAAGTAAGTATGTACAATACACCTGCCAAAGATCCTTTCCTACTATCAGGGAATGAAACATATTTGAAAGTAATAAAACCATATGGAAAGTGAAGTTTACATACTGAGAAGTATGTAAATTGAATTGAGCATGATTCTTGTGTATTTTTTAATCAGTAAGTGCTTTGGATCATCAACAGGGAAGATGCTTTTTCAGTTTGTTTCTGCATCAGGCTCTTGCCTCTCAAACAGAAAGCCAGTGTATTCGGCACCACTCCCTCTCGTCCTGCATGTTGGCAGATCTTGCTCTTGAAACCTTTCAGAGGGGACCTTCTCTCCAAAAGTGGGAAATTGTTTCCCTCTATTCTGTGAAAATATGTGAAGGCCCTCCCCACTGCTGGTCCCTTTACCCACAGCCAGAGGAGGTCCTTTCAGTATTCTGTGAGAACAGCCAGGGAGCTCATCCCTCAGTTTCCATGTAGCTGTACAACGGCTGAGTTGACGGCACTCGACACAACGTGGTGTTATGTGATGACTCAAGGACAAGTGGAGAGGGAATTGGGGATAATGTTGCCGAGGGGCTCAGTTTCTGTGGCCATTACACAAGAGTTGGAGTTTATAAGAATGAAGCCACAACAACAGTGATTTTGTCAGTTGTGAACAGACTGATGGGAATGTTTCTTTCCAATTCTTTGCAACTCTCCATAACCCAACATATTATTTAGACTATGTGCTAGATTCCACTATGAAGACAAATTTCTCAAATAGCACCTGGACATTGCCCTTTGTGCTCATGGTGATTATTCCTTGCAGAACTTCAAAGCAGATGTCTGGACTTGAGCAGGGGGTAAAATTATAACAGCAGAAGCTTTCCCAGAGGAGACTTAGAGTTGTCCCTTGAATTAACAAGGATGAGGACACAGAGCCTGCTAATTAGTTATACTGAAATGTTCTTCCTACGTATTTTTGTTTTTGGAAAAGCAATGGAGTGGAATTATGAAACGTGTGGTCTTGTTTGCTAGAATCAGCTGCCTTCTTTCTGAAAGCATTTTGTGAGAGAAGGGTTGAAGAACATGAGAAATAGCAGGCTTTACTCCGGGAGTGTTAATTGCCATTTCTCATTTGTTGCTATTCTCCTGCTAAATCAGCTTGCATGCATAAAATCAAAAAATCCACAATTTTAAAAGTTGTTGCCATTAAATTCTTTTTTTGTGGAGGTAGCTAAATGGTAAAAGATAGAATTCTGAGATAGCTGTTAGAAGAGAGAAGCAAGGTCCTTAAGGAGAACTATCTTTTGTAGACCGAGTATTACAGGCAGAAGCAGCAGCCAAGTGATTTGGTATAAGAGGATAGATAACTGATCTGGTGTTTATATAAAATGGAAAAAAGGAGAGCCAGAGCAACTTCTCAAAGTGATGTAAAGCTGGAATAAACCTTTAGAGGCCAAGGAAGGTATAGCAAAATGGAGATGAGAATGAAGCCATAGGATATTTTATCTCAGCCAATCGGTTTCATTCGCTATTACGCACGTTTATCTCCTTTTATCTCTTCTTTCCATTAAAACAGACCATTTTCTTTGTCTTCCATGATTATAGAGGACACATTGCTTGCTCAAACCATTTTTTTGCCTCCAGTCTCCATTGCTCTCCTGCTGTGTAAGCTGCACAGTACTGGGTTGTGCTGCTGAAGAGCGTGGTTGGTGTTGGAGTGCTCTAAGGTATTTTTTCCCCTTCTCATTCTCAGTTGCGTTGTAAACTGCTCTCTGGAACCGTGACAGAGAGAATTGCCGATTGCATGATTGCTTTCTCCTTCCACCAGTGAAACTATGTGGCACTCAGTCTTATCTCAACCAAATCTTGTCTGAAACATCAGCATCTATCAGCCTCCATGCAAATCCTTTTTTTCCCTGCAGCTAAGAATCAGATTCTCCAGTTCATTGACCCAGTTTCATCCACCTCTGCAGGCAACCAGTTGCATGAAAAAGTGGATCTTTCACTGTCAGCAAACTTGATTACCAGTGGACCAACAGGAAGAATGAGTTACATAATCGAAAATGCATTTCCAAAGACTAAATGTATTGGGAAAATAAGGTTTTTTCAGCTGCTGTCATGAAGGAAAGCACTGTGTAGGAGGACAGGCAATGTCTCTGAAAACTGTTCAGCCTATTTATGGCCCCTGTCTAAGTCAGATTAATGATTTTATATCAACATGATACACATTTAATAATTTTTCGTTATCCTTGTAGTTTGGCTAGAAATAATGACCATACCAAGCTCTGAGTTTGAATATCCTGGGGCCTTTGAAGGGAATACTTGTGTCTCAGTGCCATGAGAGCTTTAGTAAAGCTCCATGGACTTAATCAAATGTTATGTTATAATTTTACAGTACATTTAAACTACGAAGTTTCACAAAAATTCAGACCTCTAATCCTACTAATCCAAAAACGAAGAACTTTTTTTATGGCATATCTTGTATAGTCCTATTTTTCAGTCAGAGTAAATGCAAAATGCCACTTTAATATGACTTCACATTTTTATTTTAATTTCTTATATCCCACTTTGAAAACGATGAAACAAGGTGTCTGTCAAAAGACGGTGCAACCCCATTTTTGTGCCAGCCCAGCAAAGCAGATCTACTGCTTTTGCCCAGCTTTAGGCTGTAGCCAAAGCCCGTGGAGAGAGACGGACAGTGAGGCATGCCGTGCTACGCCAGGCAGCCTCTCCCACCTGAACAAAAGACCAGTGCTACACACACAGCGGTGCTTTGTCTCCTCTGAAGAAGTTTCTGAACGTGGTTAAGAATCACCGGCCTCAGAACCCTCCCACACAATCTTTACATAAATTGCAGTGGAAATAACAACCATGTAAAACCCCATTCTACCTCCAGTAATGGCTTGAGTCCTACAAGATTAGTGATCCTGGACTCGCACAGTCTGCTCAGATACAAGGGAAAGAGCCACTCCTCTGGATGGCTTCACTCCTCGCGCTCCTGGCAGCAGCACTGTTCAGGAAATTGTAACAAACCAGAGACATAACATAGACATTGCAAGGAGAACTGTTTACATTCCTGTCAAGAAAGCTGCAGCAAAAACTGTCTGGACCACTGAGTAAGATACTACTTAGCTCCTACACTGAAACTTTTGCTCGCCCATTTCATGCAGACATCATGTGCAGCCCCTGTGATGCTTAGTTGCTCTCTGTTCAGGCATCCTCAGTGGTGCCTTTTCTCTGTGAAAGTCTGGATACTTTCCAGACTTCTCAAGTTTTATGGGGCTCAAGTCAGACTTTAGTATCTTCTAGAAGTGGAGCCATCTAAACCAGGAAGAAAATTCCTAAGACAAAAGCTGATTGAGGCGATGTCTGACTGTCATTATGTGATTTTACACGCTGTACTTTTTATATATAGGAGAAGGTATATGTCATCAGCTGTATGCATTTCAAAAGTCTGATGGGGCTGTATCTTAGAAAAGAGTGTGGGTTGTTATGTTTGTTATTTTATATCAAAGATACTATTTTAAATGGGAAGGAGCACACACCACAGAGATTTGTGAGATTTCTACTTGCCATTCAATATAGCACATACTGTATATGGTTGTTCAGTTTCAGAATTCCGTAAGGCCTATGGTTGCTTCAGAATCATCCATGAAATATAGTGTTAGGAGTAGCTGTGTTTCCAAGAGACGGATTTCTGGGCTACAAAGAAGTGCATAGAGATCTTTGAAAGAATTCTTATCCCACAAGTATTTTACTTACACATCTTGAGTACCTTGCAGAAGGTCTGGTGGGTCATGGTTATACATCTTGCTTAGGAAGAAAGTAGGGAGTTCTATATTCTCAGCATGCTTAAATGTCTCTGTTCTCAGTGTAAAGTGGCTGGTGGTCCACCCTTAATAGTCCCTAGATGACATGGTTGCCAACAGTGGACGTATGGGTACAGATTTTACTGGTAGTGATTAAAGGCTATGCCGTACCTCTTTGCTGAGAGGTAAACCTCTTGTTTACCCACACACAGGCAAGGACTGTTCTAAAATCTACTCCCAGAGCCATGAAGAGCAGAAGAGGTGTGACATGCCTGTGAAAACATCCTCATCTATCAGCTCCTGAGGCTTTACGTAGGTCGCCATGTGAGAGGGATGCGTACATCCACGCAGCCAGGCCACAGGTGGGACGTGTCACAGCTGCATCAACAGCCTCCAGCCGGCAAGCACGCTCTGAACACGGCTCCTCACTAGTTAGCACAACGTGAAATTGTTCCTTCATGACACCACAGCACCTATCCTGCTTGGTAAGCTCCACTGCCTGCCCGTCAGGTTTAAGTCAGGCTTAGTAATTTTCTGGTGAGTGAGGTTACAGCAGGAGCATGGTCATGGCACTATCTTGCAGATGTAGGAAATACAGGCAACTGTAGCAGTGGGATGTGATGTGTGGGCTAAATGAAATGTTGTGTAGTGGAGGTATAATGTGTTTGTAATGTGTTTCAGTGGGTCTGAGCATGTCAAAATGTGCACTGGCCTGCTTTCATCTTATATTGATACAAACACAATGTAGAGGCCAGAACATCATCTGTTGTTCGCCTGTGGAGCTTTGTTAAAATTCCACAGAGTCTTCTCAATTTACAGCACTTAAGGATTTCATATTCTGTCCAGAAAACAGGTTCAGTTGTCCCCAAACAGCAGAAGGACACGGAGCTGCTTGAGCAGGGCCAGAGGAACCATGAGGATGCTCAGGGGGCTGGAGCAGCTCCCTTGGGAGGCCAGGCTGAGAGAGTTGGGGGGGTTCAGCCTGGAGAAGAGAAGGCTCCGGGGAGACCTAAATTTTGTGCTCATGGAAGTTCTATGGGAGTTTTACCATAGACATTAGTTGTAAAGGCTCAAAATCAAGCTCTGAAGACTTGAACCTTAATTTTGCAGTAAAATTAATTTAATTTTATCTTTTTATTCAAATTATGGCAGCAGCTGGAAGTTTAAGCTAAAGAACAATTACTCTGAGGCTTTTTGGGGAATTACAGGTATGGGTTAGATTTGTGTAATGCCTATCACGAGGGCAGTCCATCAAGGACTACTTCTACGGATAGTTACAATATAAAGCATCACTTGCAACTGCTTTGTAATGCTTTGTTTGCACTGTTAGCTTCTACCTATGTATCCAAGATACGGTGGAGACAGTAAAGAGGTTAAGCTCAAATTGTGAGGAAAGTCTGTCCTGGTTGCTGACGCCTGTACATCCCAGATAATCAGTGAAAATTTTAAAGCACTGAAAATTAGTAGCATATAACTTATAGACTGCACCAAGTCTGTAACCTTGTTGTACTTACATAAAGTAATTTCATTTTGATTGCCTATTGAATAAGTCTGATTATTCTTTAAGAGTCACTTTGGAATGGAGCCTGAAGGTACAATATAAAATAATTGAATTGAGTTTAAAGTTCCAGCTGGTAACCTTGTCAGTAATTTGAACAAAGATCTTGTATCTGTAATTTAGAGAGCTGTAGATGTGAATGTGAAGTGGATTCTACTAATACTTAGGAAATGTACCCGTTCCTTTTTCCCCCCACCAGTGTAACTTCTGTTCTTACCAACAAGCTCTTTTTTATCGAATTAACATACCAGTTGACGGCAGCACACTGGAATTAGAACTGTATGGTTGGCTCAGATTTATTTCATGCTATATCACAGTATGAACTTGAGGAATGATTTCCAGGAGACTAATTATCACATTATACTGAACTGCACCATAGCTACAATAAGTAGAGCGACAGGATTCTTTTTTATCTTTTCTAAGTTATTTGTTGCAATTTTTGAGCTCCTTAGTGAAACTTTAAAAAAGAGGAATCCTAGAGCTGTAGCAAAATGTTCTTTAAAAAGTGACAAAATTTACTGCCACGGAGGTTCTGTAGACCCTCAGGACTTCTGAAAGTGGACTTGATTGTGTTCATAATTTGAGTTTTGATAGCTGCTCTCCCTGGGCCAGATTCTGTGCTGCTCTGTCATGCAGGTGCAGTCATGAAGAATACAGGGCTGTGGATTGACTGTAAGCCACTTCAAATTTGTCTTGCCTGTTAATTGAATTCAGGGGCTCTTCAAGAGTTGGTGATTGTAGCCCTTCAGACTTGTCCTCACGATACTCGCTCACTCTACAGGTGGCATATTAAATCTGGACAAACTGGCCTTCAAGGATATAGGCAGGAGCTGAAGAGCTCTTCTATTTATTAGGACAGCCTGTTTATTTCAAAGTAAAACTAAAGATGAAATCACCTGGATGCTAACTGTTACCCAATTTTTTCTCACAAGTTTACTTTGTGCATAAATGAATGAACAATTTATCTTGCAAATCTAAGCGGCTCCCTTTCCAAAATCTAAATTATTAATAACTGCACTAGTTATCTCACGGAGAAAACAAAATACTGAACAATTGAAATTTAATGCTATTTGGGATACGAAAATCATGCACAATTTGTGTTGTGTTGCTTAAAATCTGCATTCTGTTAGAAATAAAATTATCAATCTTTGTTCAAAATTTAGGATGTACTCTTTTTTATTTCAGAGGCAGCTTCATTAGACAAATCCAAACATGGAAATCAACTTTTTGTAAGCATCAGGATAAATGGTATGTTACTATGGCATTTTGGATGCCTTCTTATTTACTAAGCTTTTTAGCCCAGTGTTGCTAAGATGCAAGGCTGATGCACAAAACAATAGGCCAGCCTAGTCTTCAGATAATAAGGTCAAAGTACAAAGTCAGTAGGATGTAATTTGCCACAAATGGAATGTGTTCTGATTAGCAAGGTCTGATTTTTTAAATACTATTTGAAGTAAATGCTTTCTGATCAAAATAGATTAGTTATTAATAAAATCTAATTCACTACTTTGATTTAATAACTGGTAAATTTGCCAACTGGAAACATGCTACAGATATGCCCGTGTGTGTGTGGCCTCCGCAGAGTCCCTGCCCACCTGCCATGAGCCGCAGCTAGTGACACCAACACCTCGATTCACTGTCTCTCAACAGCTATGTCTCATTTCATGAAATGCTTTGAAGAAATGGTGCCAACCAATTCCATGATGCTTTTATACCTCCCTCCTCTCTTGATAGCTCCCTTCTTATGTCCCAGCTGGTATTCCTTGGAGCTTTGCCTTTGGTAAACTGCCATATATTCTTTGCAAATATGCCACAGCTATTCACTTTTCCTTCTACAAATGACTCGCATTAGCTTCTATTGTTGTTGCATGTCAGTGAGAATATAGTTCCTTCAACTCACTAGCTGCTATTATTTTTCTCTAGCTATTTTCCATTAAGATGCATTTCCTCCCAAATGTTATGAATGTTTTTTTTGTTGTTTACTTAGAGTTTGTAAAGCTTTTCCCATAGATAAATATCTCCCGCAGGATTGACTATAGAGAATGTGAGAGGTTGTTGTTCTTTTCCATCTGCAATGCATTTTCCCCCCTTAAATTTATGTAAATGCCCGCCCCCTCTTTATGGATACGTGTGGGAAGTAACTGTTACAGGAGAAAAAGGAGTGTCTAGTGCTAGATACGTATGTGCTTGCACAGAGAAGGGATAGTTTGGGGAATATCTGTGGATAGTGCATTGTGGAGAAAGACTTGTCTGTGTATATGAGCAATGGAAGCAGGTAAAAGTATGTGTGTACCCGCTGAATCTGATCTATACTGGTCTGATTCTTACCCCAGTTAACATCTATACCCTGTATGCAATCATACAAGTTTCAGTTAATTTACTTTGTGCTTTGCAAAGGTGCTTCTTTTTTTATGTCACTGTGGAATTTCAGATATCAGCAAGGATGTACTTTTAAATCTCCAGTAAGTCAGAGGTGTCTTTTCATCAATATGAGAGGACAAGCATTCTCACAGGATCTTGTTTAGTTTGCCATAGCATCTACACATCTGGACTGTGATGTGAATTATTTAACCCCTTTAAGTGTGCAAAACTGGAAATCTTACCAAACAGAATTGCCTTAGAAGAATTGTAAGGGTTTTTTTTATCAAAGTCAGATATATCTATAAACTCATACTTCTCAGAGGATTTACGCTTTTCCCTGTTAGCAAACAGACATAAGAAGGTATATCCCAGCCGCTTCACTCTGTGAGAAGTCAGGTAGCTCAGATCTGGGTCTACAGAAGCATAAAGGGGATTTTTGCCCAGCTAGTTGCCCTTTCTTTGTGACTGATGATCACTTCATGAGTGCTAACAACTTAAAGAGATTGGGCAGTAAAAAATGAAGACTAGAGTTGATTGCTCAACAGCTGGGATACAATTTAGTAGATCTATTCATATTGTCTCCATCTAGTGCTATTGAGAATTAGGGACAGTTAAAGAAGAAAATAAATAATTAGAAGCATTTTTAAAATGAAAGTATTTTTTTCTCAGCTATGACTTTTTTTTTCTTTAACACTTTTCATAAATTGCATTTTAATGATGCAGCATTTTGTTGCTTTCTTTTTGTCAATAAACATGAATAAATAAAAATATAAATTTTTTTAGCTTCCCCTTTTTCTTCCTGTTGTGCCCTAGACTTCTTTGAAGGAGTTTTACTTGAGTATGGATTGCAGTATTTGTCCTACAGCATTTACGCTGTACTCTTAAAATTGTATTCCAAGTTCTACAAGTTTAGAATTTAGACCATGGTACCAAAACCACAGTGGGAGGTAACAGAAGACAGATAGTACTGTGATATAGATACATAGCTTTAGCACTACAATCAAGTAATAACCTGACCCTCCCTCCTGCATAGCAAAGTCCAAGAAGTCTTAGCCTTAATCTTTTCTGTAGTATAAACAGGCACACTAGGAAGTTTTTTCTTTAAGATTTGATTATGAGTAATCTAGCCAGTTCTACTAAAGATAAAAATTCCTTCTGAGGCAGTTGGAGAGGTGAGTTCCACACAGTGAAGGACTCTCAGGATTTCTTTCAAGCTGCAGGACACAGACGATAACCACGTTAAAGCTCAAGATTGTTTTCTGCACTGTGTGCTATCTGCGGTGTGCCAGGAGAGCTCTGATCCTCTGCTGATAACCGTCACACAGAAAACAAACCTCACACAAGCGTATGTTCTGAGGTAGTGAATCAAGTGAGAGTTTTCAGAGACCACTTATCTTAAGGCTAACAATGGAATATGCCTTTTACCTGTGCATGAAGAAGCAAGGATATAACGTATGTGCCATAACTCGGGCATAGTTTGTTGATTTAAAACCACATGCTTTTCACAAGGCTTATGAAAACAATTGCATTTGGAGAAAAGATAATTTTGTAGACTGTTTTGCTGGAACTTAGGAGTTCTTAGTTTCAACTTCAGTTCTGGCACATACTACCTCTAGTACTGTATCAGTCTGCAGTAGCAATACAGCTTGTCTTTTGTATTTCATTCAAAGTAGAGGGAAGATGGAAGTAGAAGAGTTGCTCTTGAAAGACTTTCACACCCTGAGATTGCAGAAACAGTGTGAAATCAGTATATCAAATTAGATTTCTGCCATTCGGAGCCCCAAATTTTTTCACATTCCTTCACGGCAAATCACTGCTAGTTGAGCACTAACCCTCAGAAAAAGGTGCTGTTGCCAAAACTGGCCTTTATAGCACAGCCTTGAAGAGAGAGCACATGCAGTGCACTTGTGGCATATAAATTCTACTGCAGTTTTGGCTGCATTAATTACTGGTGCTTGTGCTATGAGTCACCTAACTTTATGTTGTCGCAGCAGTATGTATATTTTTAGGATGTGGAAAAAATAATAAGAGCAAATATTGTATACAAATAGCACGGTTTCAATTCCTGTCTTGAATATTTGATCATCCCATTGGTCAGGTAAGAGGCATTGGTATTGCAGCTGAGCAGTAAGGTTAAAGTAGACCTGCTGCTAATGTAGCAAAAAGATACATTCTCTACTTAGATTAAGCAGGCACAAATTGGAAGGGAGGGAAATGGAACGATTTTTCACATAACCATAATTGTGTGCTAATTATATCATGGAATGAAAGCAATTGCCCAATTATAAGACAATGTATCACTCTATCACAGGCAGTGCTTTGAAGGTTTATGTACTTTAAATTACTGTGACATTCCCAAGGCTCCTCTGTTTACACATTTGTCTCAACATCTTCTAGCAACAGCAGTACTATGACTAAAGCCATTAATTAATATATTCCCTGTGTCTTCGCAGAAGTTACAGAGTCCTCTTTGGAATGAATTTACACTCTTCTGTAAAGTAGCTTGATTTTCCTATTACTCTGCTAATGACCACTCTGAGTTTGATAACTGAGGGTAGATGAGGTAGTTTTTCTCCTCTACTCTCCCTGCAAATGTTTTTCTGTCAGATATTATAATACTAATAATAATTCTGTGTTACTGAATTTTTGTTTCTCTCTGAATTTTAATATAATTTTACACCTCCCCCCATGACAGTAGATTCTCCAGTCATGACATAATTACTTTCTTGATAGCCAGAATGACTGAGAGGAAAATCTTGACCAGTAAATCTATTTTCTTTTTTACCATCAGTGGGAAAATACATTGTATGTTGACCAGTATTACCACTTTGTTTTCAGTTAGTTATCAATAGAAGTTCGTCATTGCAGGCAGGTAAAACTGTACTATACACAAGCCCATAACAGCATTAATCAAGCTAGACTGAATAACCACAGTAAACGTTCAGTGACAGAGACTTTGGTGTGGTCTGTAAAAACCTGACAAAACCCCCAAGTGTGTGGTCAGATAGCTATGCTGTACAGAAGCCTAAATGTTTGCCTCTTCACAACCATTGTTGCTTATCCTTGCAAGAATAAACCTGATGTAAAACTACCTGTAAAACTACGTAGGAGTCAAGCCTTTATTTGCCACTAACCATTTGTTCATTAAATAGACAATGGAAAGCTGTCCCCAGCACACAGGAATTTAGATTCTTTTCTATCCTTAGCATGAAAAGACTTCATCCGTGTCCATCACTTGAAATATATCCAACCCAAACCCTTCAGTGAAATTCACTGGTTACGTCATGTTGTAGCTGCTAATATACCTTTCCTGTACACCAACCTCTGAGCCCCAAAGCACAGAAAATCAGTGAGGGCATAGCAGCACTGCTTCCTTATACAATTCCATGCACCCTCTGGTAACTAACCATATGACGAGTTAATACTTACTCTACTAGGCATTGCAGCGTGACAGATAGGTCATGGAATACCTGTTACCTTGGACTTTGGAAGAGGATGGATCCTTCCAGGGAGTGGTCACCCCCAGAGCATCCATATCTGTAGCAGCAGCGTGTGAAGAGACAGGATCTCTCAAGTAAATAGGTCTGAGGTTTTTCTGCATGTTATTGGTCAAAACTAAATTGTCAGACCCCCACATAGAAATCAATAGGCTGTCAACATAGATCTTGGCATGCTGGGAACCAGTTAATAAACAGGCTGCCGCATTCCATACCAGCTTCAGTTCACAGATAGATTGAAGGTGCAGCCCCAAGTACAGCACACTGCAATATGCCTTGCTGTCAAAGGAAAAACTAGGGAGTGTTGACTTATTCAGCAGTTTCACACAAGGACAGGCTTGACAGGTGGCACCAGAATGTGAGGTCTGTTTCAGATTCTTTCATTAATTT